GGGTTTTTCAGCTGCTTTCGGCCACTTCACGCGTGCCATAGTTACCGGCGCGATGGAAAGCAAAAGAGGACGTCAATGCGATGCTGACGTGGTTGCGGCCTTGGAGCGTTTCTCGTTCACCGTCTATGTAAACAAGCTGAAACAATCAGTAGAAAACCACTGTTCGGGCTATACAGACAGCTGAAATAAAGCATGATGCATGTTTACTGCACGGGATTAGGTTTGAGCTTTTTTATAGCTTGGATAATATATTGTTGGAAACCGACGTGAGGGACGAATGGGCATTCCTTCGACTCTAGTCGACTCCCTCACACAGATGGCTTCAGAACTTGGGATGTAACGAAGGTTGGCAGTAGCAGAAGCTATTACAGCTGCTGTTTTCTTGAGTTGCATTCATAGTCAAGAAAGGAAACGGCACGCGGCTTGAGTATGCTAGAACTATACTGCTCGTCTAGCTCTCTCTAACCGAGGTGTAACCGAGGTCTGTTCGGACAAGGGTTCGTAACGCATTCTACTGGGACCAGTGAAGAAATTCCAAAGTGGCTGCTCATGGAATGGCTGCATTCAACAATGGTATCTCATCTGTTCAAATACGGTCCCTTCCTGCAATTGAAGATAGAGTCCTCTTAAATATGGTCGGATGGATCAGGGCCGTCACCTCTCAGTAGTGTAGCTGAGACAGCTCATTAACCAAGGGAATGATCAGACTGGAAGTGAAAAGATTTTCCAGGAAGTTAAGCTGAAGTTTGCAAGGGGAATTTACTTCATAGCTCTACTTTCAGAAATGTCTACCAACGGCACAGCACTTGATGGGTGGAGCTACCTTCTATATTCTCTTGAAACATTTCTGTATGTGGTCTTTGTCCCACTGATTATTGTGTTCTTCTACATCTGTATCGTGCAAAGGAATTTGCACTCGAATTTCAGGTCAATATTCAAACTTTATAGTTATTGGTGTTTTTGGCATTGGGAGATCCAGTTTTTGAGGATTCGCAGAAAAAGTCGTTCAGTTGGCTCTTGATTGTGAGATCTCTTGCAGAGGACAACTTTTTTCGTTCATTTTTTCTGCCTTTCTTGTCCATTTTAAATTTTCCAAGGAATTTGGTTCGAGAATTATTTTTGATGTCTTTAAGATTTCTACAGGCTATGTTTGTTCATACTGAGTGATACACCTTGAATACATCTCCTGAGAACACTCGTCATTGTTCGACTTTCTAGCTACGGGAATAGCAACACTGCTGTATTGGTGAGTCTCCTCTTTCAATAGAAAAAAAAGCTCTGCAACGAGCAGCGAACTGCACCTGAAAGAAACCCCTTATTAGGTGTAACGGTGCTAAGATAACTCCTTAATATTGTCCTAAATCCCATAAAACCGACTTGAACTAACATCAGTGCTTGAGAAGGTCGCAATATGAGCGTTTTTTTCGCTTTAGGAAGAAATTAGTTTATTATCTAGCACCGTTACACCTAATGAGAGGTTTCTTTCAGGTGCAGTTCGCTGCTCGTTGCAGAGCTTTTTTTTCTATTGAAAGAGGAGGCTCACCAATACAGCAGTGTTGCTATTCCCGTAGCTAGAAAGTCGAACAATGACATAAGTGATCCTCAGGAGATCTATTCCAAGGTATCCCACACCAGCCATAAACAAGCATAGCCTGCAGAAAAATCTTAAGACATCAAAAATAATTCTCGAACCAAATTCCTTGGAAAATTTAAAATGGGACAAGAAAG